CGATTACATCACTAGAACTCAAAATTTCTGCTCCCTATTCCTCTGAAGCATTCAACAGCAGATTTGCGACCGCCTGACGTTGAACGTATGGTTCGTCAAGTTACTGTGGTAAATTTTGTTTGGCCGCCTTCCTAATTTCACTTAATAATTAGTATCAGATAGCTTCGATATTACTTTGGCGGGCCCTTCCCAACGAACCTCAAGCCTATTCTTTTTGGACGGCCACAACAGCATTACCCGACTACCTACTTCAAAAGCGCGCTTCTTGGCCGATTTGTCACAGTAATCCTGCGACAACACTTGTGCAGCCTTCATGTGGCTTTCCACAAGATCTTTCGTTTTTCCAAGCTTCTGAAGGAGGTTTAGAACACACGCAACTACATTAGGGTCCTCATCGAATCCCTCCCAGGACTCGCGTAGCATTCGCAATGGTGTTCTCAAACTCCTGTCATACACAAGCTCTGCAGGGCTAAAGCCAGTGCTCTCACGAGGAGCTGATCTCAAAGCGAACATAGTGGGAGGAATACACGCTTCCCAGTTGCATTTGTGCTTGTAGCAAAGAGCTCTCAGTATCCGTTTCAGAACGGAATGCATACGCTCTACCAGGTTAGATTGCGGGTGATGGATCGAGCTGTGCACTACTTTTATTCCACATTTATCCATAAAGGTAGAGGTAAGGCAGCTGGTGAAGACACTACCATTGTCGCATTGGATTTCAGAAAGAAATCCGACGCGTGCAAATATAGATAGCAGTGCATCCACGACATGAGGGGAATTGAGCTGCTTAAGTGGTATCGCTTCCGGAAATCTTGTGGCTACACAGAGGGCCGTCAGGATGTACCGACAACCTTGCCTTGATTCTGGCAATGGCCCGACGATATCGATTACTAGGCGCCGAAAAGGTTCTGTGATAATTGGCACAAGATTCATGGGCACAAGATTCATGGGTGCCTTCCACTTGTCCATGGATTTCCCCGCTTTCTGACAAGTGTCGCATGAGCGTACAAATTCTTCGATATCCTTCCAGCATTTCGGCCAATAAAACTCAAGGAAACTCTAGCCTCGGTTTTTTTTTTTTATGCGGAGATTCCCGGCCCACGCGTTTTCATGCGCCAGTTCCAATAGTTGGCGACGATACTTTTGTGGCACCAAGAGCTGCTCATACTTGTGACCTTGCGCAATTGTGTAGCTCCGATACAGGAGCCCTGCTTTCTCAAAAAAAGGAAACATTCTTTTTTCCCAAGTTTACGCTTTCCATTAGTGCTTTAATCGAGAGGTTCTCACGCTGCTCTCGAATGAGCGTTTCTCGATCAATCCTCGACAGCTGACTCCAACTTCCTGCTACAGACGAGAGCGTTGCACCCCTCTCGCTCTGACTCAATGGCGCCATGTCGTTTCCTCCACCTACGGAGACCGCGCCAGTCGCTTCGGCAACGGGCCGCTCGAGTGACTGCTCAAATGACTCACATGGAGAGTTTCCTGTCTGAGGTTCCGTCGACTCGCCGCCAAGGTCACACAGATCAGTAGCTTTTGAACTTGATACTTCACCACAATGAACAAGATCAAGCTCCCGCGAAAGCTTCCGCGCTCTCGATCGCGCGAGGGCCATGTGCGCTAAGTTGGAGAAGAACGATTTACCCTGCTCTTTGAGAAGCTGCTCTGAGTTCTTAGGGAAAAGATGAGGAAAACGATCGGAAAGTGCGGCAGACAAAGCCGCTTCGGTGCGAAGCTTACCAAACGGGCCTTCAATGACAACCGTAGCGATTGGTAAGCAAGCACTCTGCTCCTCGGCGACTTGCCTGATCCACGCTAATTCCCCTGTAAAATCATCCGGAGGCACCAACGAAGGATGGACAATTGCCGCTGAGTCTCGAAGTGCTCGACTTTTCCCATTCACACTAATTTCTTGGAGATACGGCTCTAACAACCGCATGTTCTTTTCCGATTCTCGGATTGTTGCAAAAGCAAACGTTTGCTTACAGTTTATCGCGATGTGCCCTCCCTTTTTGCAGTTGTAGCACATTAGCGGCTTCCGTGATTCTAACACCCGTGTGGTATCAGTGCGTTGTTTACGAACCGCACTCGATTTCTCCGCTTCCATTTGCCCTTCCTCTACAGTGTCCTTCGTAAGAGACGGGTCCTTCTTGAAATTACGGTGCAGAGCGGGTTTCCATTGTTCAGGTTTCTTTCATCCTTTTCAACGTGCACTGCCCTGCTATGCGACTTTCGGCGAGTATAATTGTCTTCAGCTAACTCTGCTGCCTTGTTTAGCTGTACTGCACCAAGTTTGTCCTGCAGCCAAAGCTTGACATCCTCCTCGATGCAGCGGTAGAATTGCTCCAATGCAATGCATTCTACCACTTTATCGCAATCGTCATAAACACCTTCGCCCTTGAGCCATTCAATTAAATCGGCTTTAAGACGAAACGCGAAGTCAACGTGTGACTCGTTCCCCTTTTTAGCACACCGGAACCTTTGCCTGAAAGCGTCGGGTGACAACTTATAACGTCTCAAGAGCACTTCCTTAACCTCGTCATAGCTCTCAAACGCTTCCCTCGACAAGCGCGCAATCACGTCGGACACTTCACCGGGAAGAAGAGCTAACTGGTTCTGCGCCCAAAGAGACCGCTCTAAAGCATTTTACTCACAGACGTGTTCAAACTTGACGAGATACTTCGCCATGTCCTCACCTACTACGAAGGGTGGCAGTTGGTCCCGAATTTTATAACTGCTTACCTGAACTGTCGGAGAAGCTACGCTAGGCGCCTGCGAACACTGTAGGATTGACAATTCTATTCGTTTCAACTCGAGGCGCTCCTAGCTGTCTCTCGGCTTCCTCACGCTCACGACGTTCACGCCTTTCAGCTTCTTCGCGGCTTGCTTTGATATCCACCCAGGCCTTATCGACGTCCTCAGCCGACACTCCTTCATCCTTCACGATCTCAAGGATCGCTTGCTTTCGTTTTGCACGGCGTACGGTGTAAAGCAATGCAGAGTTCCTCACAAATTTCGATGAGTTCCTTCACTTTAAGGTTCTCCATCGTTCACACTAGCCTCTTGCTGTTTGCCCCTGTTAAGAATCTACTTGCCGTACCCACTATAAGTCTACTAGCAAGACGCGCAAGCAATTTTTAACAATGCCGTGTTTACACCCTCCGCATTAACTTTGGTTTCAAAGCGCTTCGACTTGGCTTGAAACGATCAAAGCTCACTCTAATGCTTCACACAGCCCTTCTCTAAACTACTATAACCTGTGCTAGAGTAGTCTGGTGAACTGAGGGGAAAACATCAGGAACTCACCGCATCGATTTCGCTGACGCTAGCCGATCCCGCAGCTACCAATCACTGTTACGAAGACGCGACGCCAACACGGTGCCGAAGGCGCAACTGCTCCAAACTCTGCCGACAAGGTCACCAGCCGTTTGGTAGCGTGGGTTCCTCAGCTCACGACTGCTTCTGCGCAGAGCTGATAGACGTGCGGACGAGACGATGGCACAGAACACCTACCAGTTTGACGACGGTGAGTTATAGCAAGGTTTATGTACAGCATATAAATAGAGGCGTTACAAATTCGTCACTGGGGCCGACAGCTCAGGGACTCGAAGAGCCGAGATGCCTTCTCGCACGCATACGTTGGCTTCTCTCTGACACATAGGTCTACTGGTAGGTGTTCTGTGGGTCTACTGCTGGCGACGCGCAGCAGGGCTGTTTTTAAGGCACCGGGTGGATTCTTTGAGTAACCAAATGTCCAACCAGAAGCGCCGCTGGCCGTGATGTCGGAATCGTCTAATGGGGCCCGCCGCTGCGCGTGGTTGCACCAAGGACGAGGGATGTTGCCACGCATTGCGTAAGACTCGCCAGACTCGAAGGCGCCAATTGCTGCGCGTGGTTGCAGCCAAGGACGAGTGACATTCCCAGGCATTGCGTAAGGCTCGCCAGACTGGAAGGCACCGATAGCTTCAACGGGCTGAGGGAGCTCGCGGTGCGTTGCGTGACCGGCGCCGCCGCTTGATGACGTCGTTGAGTTGGTCGCGTCAGGCGGGCTTATAGTGAACTAGAAGTACTCTAGTGGCACGACCGCCAGGCCACGCCGCCTCTCTTGGCGGTCGGAAATACCACGGACCGCCGCTAGGGTTTCTCGTGGCGCTACTGCGCCTTTTCCTAGGCGAGGCGCGGTCACTTGGTGATTCAGCGCGTTAGTTCAGCACGTCTGCCGGTATCCTGCGCATCGCTTTGTCTGCAGCTACTGTACTGCACGTGTACCGGTATACTCTGCTATGCATTTTCTCGCACGGACCGTTGTGGAGCAGCTGTCTTTACCTGTTCAGGTATTCCGTACGAACAAACATGTAGCTCGTGACATGTCGAAGCGGAGGACGGATTCACACTGTTTTGCTCCGGGTTGCCGAAGCGGCTACCCGGGCGCCCCGAAGGCATCGTTGTTTGCAGCTCCTAGAGAAGACGATCTCCGCAGAAAGTGGGAGCGTAACCTCCGGAGGGATGACAAGCCTCTGACCGAAACATCAGCGGTGTGCGAACATCACTTCGAGCCAAGATATATTCTGCGCGAATATGTGCACGTGATAAATGGCTGTGAAGTGCGCACTCCCCGAGGAAAACCGTCATTGGTGCCTCATGCCGTGCCAACGCTTTTGCCAGGTTGTCCAGCGTACCTTTCCGTCGCTGCGCCCAAGCAAAGACCCGAGAGAAGGAAAGCAGCCAAACCTCCTGAAGGCGCAAGCAGAAAACGGCGCAGGCCTGATGCACCTGACGAAGTGTGCGACGGCGGTGAAATGGAAGGCATGGACTTTAATGCTGCCACTAGTGCGCGACTTTCAATTGAAGCTATTCGCACACTTGAAGTTCCTGCAAACTACTGGTGTCGTATAGAAGCAGTTGGCCACTGCGATCTAATATTTGTGACGACAGTGATAAGCAAGCGTACAAAACTGGATATTTTTCATGAAAAAGCTGTGTGCTTTAGTCCACAGAAGGAAAAATTGTAGCCCAAGTCTTCTATCAAGGTGTTTTGTGTCAAGAGAAACCCGTGCAATCCCTTGCTGAGGCCACATCCGTATTGGAAGAAGCTCGAGAAAGCCCTGTCTGCAAGGGAGCAATGTGTAAACAAGAATTCAAGCCGCTTTCCTCTCGGCTGACCGCACATCATCGAGCTGAAGCAAACACTGCTGGACGATCCGTGATCAGCGTACGCTGCTTCGGAAAAGTTTCTTCTGAAGGTAAGTAGACGTAAAGTGCATTAGGATGCCCATAACATTACCACATTGCCTCAGGTATTGAGGGGTGTGATTTTAACGTATGCATTGTTTGTTCATTTGCAGGCTCAAGTTGTGCAGAATGCAAGTCCCTTAGGAAAGCGTTACTGACAAGAAAGTCGTACATTAACTGTCGTGTACACCTGCCTGTAAAGAAAACCCTTTCTTCACGACTGACGCAACAAAAGAAGAAGACAGCACGTCTTCAAAATCAGGCATGTGTGCTTAAGAAAAAGTTGAGTGTCATGCTTGCCAAGAATGTGGCAATCGCAGAAGAAGATTTCAATGCAAAAGTAGCTCTCCTACCAGAGAAGCAGCGTGAGGCAACTCTCCACATATTCAAAGCTTCTTCACGGAAGAGTACTAAAGGCATGATATTTTCAAATGAGTGGGTGCTCGAATGTTTGATTATGAAGCTGAAAAGTGCAAGGTTGTATGAGCACTTGAGAAAAGAAAAAATCTTAGTTCTCCCCAGTAAGACTACGCTTCGCAAATATTTAAAATGCTACAGAACTGGGTTTGGATTTAGCAATAAAATCTTTGATGTGCTGAAGCAAAAGACTTGCACTATGGACGAGTTTTTATGCCATGGAGGACTCATCGTGGATGAACTGAAACTCTCGGAGCACCTCTCAGTGAACAGTGAAGGCCGCATTGATGGCTTCGTTGACTTGGGACAGTTTACGTCTGACAAAGATAAGCACAGTGTCTGTGATCACGGTATGGTGATAATTTTTGTGCCCTTTGTTGGCAAATGGACGCAAATACTCGCTGCATTTGCGACTCATGGAAACATAAATGGGAACCTGCTGACGAAGATAATGCTTGAAGCCGTCATTTTAGCTGAGAAGGCCGGACTCAAGGTTGATTTCATTACGTCTGATGGTGCCACTTGGAATCGGAAAATGTGGTCTGTGATGGGCATCAAAGCATCACTGACAGAAACGAAATGCAGCACATTGCATCCAGTGGACCCAACGCGCAAACTCCATTTTCTGTCGGACTTTCCTCACTTAATTAAGTGCCTGAGGAATGGACTACTAAGGTCGGACTACGAAACACCTGAGGGCCGGGTAAGTTGTTTTTGATCACCAAGCATGCTGTACAACTTTATTGATACAATCTGTTTGTTTCTAACAGTTTCTCACTTTGGTATTCCTTTCAGGTATCTTTACAATTCGTACGCAAAGCTTTGGAACTGGATGGTTGCAGTGTCACATTGCAGGCAATGCATGGAATCACCGGAAGCCACACGAACCCCAACAATTTTGAAAAGATGAGAGTATCTTTAGCTTTTCAGCTTTTCGGAGAAAAAGTGATTCATGGTCTGCAGCTGTACAAGTCAGGAATTGAAGATACCTGTGGTGACATCACAGCTACACTAAAGTTTTTCAAGTAAGTGTCATCACATTGTGGTTTTATTGCGATTGCACCTTTCACCTTGCATATGACAGTCTGACTCTTGCTCACAAACACAGATTCATCCTGCTTTTGTTCATTTCACAGGATCATCCATGACCTTGTGCAAATGATGACTTCACGATTTCCAGCTGAAGCGCTGCGCCCAAGTTCAGCAAGTGTTGAGAAGTTGCGATCGTTTCAGGAGTATCTTTCATCATGGGAAGACCACACGAAGGGGCAGAAAGGATTCCTGAGCCAGTCAACAGCAGCTGGGCTGCGAGTGACAGTGTCAAGTGTGCTTTCTTTGCTTCAGTATCTCACTGAGAAACTAGGCTACAGGTACTGTTGAGAAACGGCGGACCGATCCCGCCGAAGCCACCACTGTTGCGAAAGACGGCGACGCCAACACGGCCCCGGAGGCGCCACTGCTTTCAACTCCGCCGGGAAGGTCACCAGCCGTTTGGTAGCGTATGTTTATCAGCTCGCGACTGCTTCTGCGCAGAGCTGATAAGACGAGCGGACGAGACGACGGTGAGTTAAACAAGGTTTATGTACAGCATATTTACAGAGGCGTTACAATTTCGGCACTGGGGCCGACAGAGACTCGAAGAGCCGAGCTCTTCTCTCTAACACATAGTTCAGCCTTTCGCCTAAGACCGCTGATCGCGACACGCCGCAGGGCTTCTTTTATTTCCACCGGGCCCAACTAAAATGTCCAATCAGAAGCGCCGCTGGTCTTCAGAGCAGGCTCCTCCAATGGGGTTCGCCGCGCGATGCGTCAGGCCACCAGACATGAGGACACCGGCTCGCTGTCACGTGCGACGCTGACTCAATGCACGTGGGCCACAGATGCGCCGCGCGTGTTCACGCCGTGGAGTTGTTCGCGCCCGGCGGGCTGCGGGCTGGCCTTGACCCAGATTGCCTGTTTCAGAGGCACGGACGTTTGACGAGGACTCGCTGGCATAACAGCACCCCCGCCGCCAGACAATGCACCGGAAAGACGAGCTGCTTCCACGGGGCTCGGATGTCAGGTGCGCTCGTTCGCCAGGTCCCTCCAGGTTCGCCTCCAGGGCCATGGGGAGAATACAGCTCCAGACTGTTCCGGGAACACATCCCATCATTGACGACGGATCCCCGCTCCACTGGCTTGTCGCCACAACTTGCTGGCCAACTTCGCTCGTCTCTTCTGACCATTTTCGGTTTCAGCACTTGTCGATGGTTCTGCAACTTGCTAAGAACGGTTCGACAACAGACAACACACGACACAAGCAAGTGCCCTCGGTCACCCGACAGAACACCAGACAAAGTATAGTACAACATATACCTATCTACGTGTTTATCGGAATTTTGTTCCCTCTACATCAAGAGGCACATGTGGGACAAAAGACCCCTAAAATGACAACTCAATTTTTTTTCCCACGTACAACAACGTAACGGATTAGAATACCACATAAAGTTGGCCCCTTGAGATCACTCTGAACGAGAGCGCTCAGCCCAGGTCGTGATGAGGTCAAAATTTTGCCCCGAATCGCCAGCCAGAAACCGAAAGGTTAAGAAGTTACTAGCTGGAACGCACTGCTCAATGCACCTGCATTAGCGTATAGCTTTCTCTTTTTTTTTTTTTTTTTTTTAGCGAACGTCAAAGTTGCCCTGCCGGAGTACCACGCTCCATCTCAGTAACCGGTCACTTTTAGGCGACGATACCTATGCGGTACCAAGAGCGGCTCACACTTGCGACGTTCCACAGGAGAACAACGATACGGCTTGCTATGGATTGGCTCCTCACCGCTTAGCTCGATATCGTGTTCGATCACCCTCGTGTTTCCGGGGCGGTCCGAAAACACGTCTTCAAACTCGGAACCAATCTTTCTCAGGTCCTCTTTCTCAGGTCCTCCTTCACTTAAGCTAGGCTCTAGGTTTATCTGCTCCCGGATTACTTTCGATCCCCCTTCGATTACTTCACTAGCACTCAAATTTTCTGCTTCCTCTTCCTCCGAAGCCTTCAACAGCTGATTTACGACCGCTTGATGTTGAACATTGGGTTTCATCAAGTTGTAAATTTTGTTCTGCCGCCCTCCTACTTGCACCTCATAATTTGTATCGCAAGGCTTCGATAATACTTTGGCGGGCCCTTCCCAATCAACCTCAAGCTTGTTCCTTTTGGGTGGCTGCAGCCGCATTACCTGATTATCAACTTCAAAAGCGCGCTTCTTCCCCGATTTCTCGTAGTGCTCCTTCGACAGCACTTTTGCCGCGTTTTTCTGGCTTTCCACGAGCGCTTCAATTTGGCTTTCCACTAGCGCTTCAATCGAGAGATCCTCACTCTGCCCTCGAATGAGCGTCTCTCGATCAACTCTCGGCAGCTCGCTCCAACTTTCCGCTACAGGCGAGAGCGTTGCAACCCTCTCGCTCTGACTCAATGGCGCCACGTCGTCTCCCCCAGCGCATACCGCGCCGGCCGCTCCCGCGACGGGCCGCTCGCGTGACTGCTCACATGACTCATGCGGAAAATTTCCTTTCTGGGGTTCCGTCGACCCGCCGACAAGGTCACTTGAGAGTTCACCGCATGGAACCAAGTCAAGCTTCCGCGAAAGCTTTCGCGCTTGCGATCGCGTGGGAGCCATGCACGCTAAGTTGGGGAAGAACGATTTGCCCTGCTCTTTGAGAAGCTGCTCCGAGTTGTTGGAGAAAAGATAAGAAAAACGACCATTCAGCGCGGCAGACACAGCCGCTTCGGTGCAAAGCTTACCGAACGGGCCTTCAATGACAACGGTGGCGATTGGTAAGCGAACACTCTGCTCCTCGGCGACTTGCCTGATCCACGCGCATTCTCCTGTGAAGTCATCCGGAGACACCAATGAAGGATGGACAACGTCCATGGTTGCCGCTGAGTCTCTAAGTGCTCGGCACGTTTTCTCATTGACCCTAATTTCTTGGAGATACGGCTCCAACAACCGCATGTTTTTTTCTGATTCTCGGATCGTTGCGAAGGCAAACTTTTCCTGACAGTTTCTCGCGATGTGCCCTTCCTTTTTACAGTTGTAGCAGATTAGCGGCTTCCGTTTGTTTTCCGGTTCTAATGCCTGTGTGGTAGAAACCTCACTCGATTTCTCCGCTTCTGTTTGCCCTTCCCCTACACTGTCCTTCGTAAGAGACGGGTCCTTCTTGAAATTACGGTGCGGAGCGGGTTTCCGTTGATCAGGTTTCTTTGAAAAGCCCTCTTTTCTTTCATCCTTTTCAACGCGCACTGCCCTGCTATGCAACTTTCGGCGAGTATAATACTCCTCAGCTAACTCTGCTGCCTTGTTTAGCTGTACTTCACCAAGTTTGTCCTGCAGCCAAAGTTTGACATCCTCCTCGATGCAGCGGTAGAATTGCTCCAATGCAACGCATTCCACCACTTTATCGCGGTCGTCATAAACACCTTCGCCCTTGAGCCATTCAATTAAATCGGCTTTAAGACGAAACGCGAAGTCAACGTGTGACTCATTCCCCTTTTCAGCATACCGGAACCTTTGTCTGAAAGCCTCGGGTGACAACTTATAACGTCTCAAGAGCACTTCCTTAACCTCGTCATAGCTCTCAAACGCTTCCCTCGACAAGCAAGTTATCGCGTCGGACACTTCGCCGGGAAGAAGAGCTAGCAGGTTCCGCGCCCAAAGAGACTGCTCCAAAGCATTTCGCTCACAGACGTGTTCAAACTTGACGAGATACTTCGCCATGTCCTCGCCTACTACGAACGGTGGCAGTTGATCCCGAATTCTAATACCGCTGACCTGCATCGTCGGAGAAGCTGCGCTAGGCGCCTGCGAACACTGTAGGATTGCTAATTCTAGTCGTTTCAACTCTAGGCGCTCTTGTCTCTCGGCCTCCTCGCGCTCGCGACGTTCGCGCCTTTCAGCCTCTTCACGTTCGCGAGCTTCTCGCCTTTCTTCACGTTCGCGAGCTTCGCGCCTTTCAGCCTCTTCACGAGCTTCTCGCCTTTCAGCCTCCTCACGTTCGCGAGCTTCTACTTCTCGCCTTTCAGCCTCCTCACGGCGTGCTTTAATATCCACCCAGGCCTCATCGACTTCCTCAGCCGACACTCCCTCATCCTTCATGATCTCAAGGATCGCTTGCTTTCGTTTCGCACGGCCCAAAGTAATGCCGAGTTCCTCACAAATTTCGATGAGTTCCTTCACTTTAAGGTTCTCCATCGTTCACACTAGCCTCTTGCTGTTTGCCCCTGTTAACAATTTACTTGCCGTACCCACTATAAGTCAACTAGCAAGACGCGCAAGCAACTTTTCACTCTCCCGTGTTTACCCCCTCCGCATTAACTTTGGTTTCAAAGCACTTCGACTTTGCTTGAAACGATCAAAGCTCACTCTAATGCTTCACACAGCCCTTCTCTAAACTACTACAACCTGAGCTAGAGTAGTCTGGTGAACTGAGGGGAAAACATCAGGCACTCACCGCATCGATGTCGCTGACGCCGGCCGATCCCGCAGCTGCCAACCACTGTTGAGAAACGGCGGACCGATCCCGCCGAAGCCACCACTGTTGCGAAAGACGGCGACGCCAACACGGCCCCGGAGGCGCCACTGCTTTCAACTCCGCCGGGAAGGTCACCAGCCGTTTGGTAGCGTATGTTTATCAGCTCGCGACTGCTTCTGCGCAGAGCTGATAAGACGAGCGGACGAGACGACGGTGAGTTAAACAAGGTTTATGTACAGCATATTTACAGAGGCGTTACAATTTCGGCACTGGGGCCGACAGAGACTCGAAGAGCCGAGCTCTTCTCTCTAACACATAGTTCAGCCTTTCGCCTAAGACCGCTGATCGCGACACGCCGCAGGGCTTCTTTTATTTCCACCGGGCCCAACTAAAATGTCCAATCAGAAGCGCCGCTGGTCTTCAGAGCAGGCTCCTCCAATGGGGTTCGCCGCGCGATGCGTCAGGCCACCAGACATGAGGACACCGGCTCGCTGTCACGTGCGACGCTGACTCAATGCACGTGGGCCACAGATGCGCCGCGCGTGTTCACGCCGTGGAGTTGTTCGCGCCCGGCGGGCTGCGGGCTGGCCTTGACCCAGATTGCCTGTTTCAGAGGCACGGACGTTTGACGAGGACTCGCTGGCATAACAGTACCTAATGACATCTAGAGTAAGCCAAGATCCTGTTGAGCATGTTTTTGGCATTGTCAGGCAGTCGTCTGGATGTAACACGCACCCAACACCACAGCAGTTTATTAGCACTATCAACTGCTTGAGCTTCAACAATCTTGCTCACTCAGCTTCAAAGGGAAACTGTGAGCCTGCAGTGCTCCATGCCCTTCTACCCGCAAATTCAGGTGCTGAAAATGTTCCA